CCATCACACGGAAAGCATTTCCTTTTTACCCGTGATTTGCTAGTGTTCCACTATTCCAGCTTCTGTTCCCCAAAATACAATTCAATCTAGCATCCGCAATGACGTGGGCAATAAGCAAATGGTACAGTTTCATTGCTAGCTCCGATGATATTAATATTCAGGCTCTGGAATCCACTCCACCCCTGGAGAACTGTTCTTTGTGACTCTACGGGTAGCTGTATCCAGTTTTCCATTATATGGTCCCATCAACCCTGTTCTCAGATTTAGAGAGACATATAGGCCGTCTTACTGGACCGAGTATTTATTTACACAACCTCATGATCCAGCACGTGATGATGCAGAGTTGCTCTTCACGTACACCTGTACGCCGATTACCCCAGGGATAATGAACTATCAGCATAAACCATAACACGATGATACCCCTTAGTCGGTGACTAGTTGAAGCTACCACCTGGAACTTCTTAGCCCACGATACACAGGTATCGCCTGGGAAACTTTCGTCAGCAAGTATAACACTGTGCTTGCTGATGCATCGGAAGCCATGGATATTCGTCTTAGTAGCATGCGCGCATTTGTACGAGCCAGGAAACGAAAATACATAGCAATCCGAACCGCATCATGGCATGCCCACAAGACCGGCCATGGCTCGAACACCCAGAAGACTTACGTTATCCACCGAAACCACTCTATTCGACTTATGCGCGAAGACATAACAGCATATCAACCGACTTTAATAGAACGATATACTTCAAATCAAATGCTACCGTACTTACAGATGAGCAGGATCCTCAAGGTGGTAAAGCGATTTTCTCCTCTTCGAACAGTGGATGGACCAATACAGACAGTCAAATATGCGGTGAATTCCCTGTAGGAGCAGTACATACAATCTTTTTATTGTGATTCGTAGTATCTTTATCCACTGGAACGTATTGCGTCACCAGCATAAAAGTTATATCCTCTTTTACGGCAGACATTTTGATGGAAAGCTGTTATACATGAGCCCACACAGCTCTCCCTGAATAGACTATATTCACCCAATGGCGCCTGCATTAGCACCTAATTACTTGGCTCACTCTTTGGAGCGCTTCTTCCAACACTACTTTGATGACAGACATTTTTCTGCGGCAAAGGAATATGGGATAATAGCTCTCGGGTACAATGGAAACAGTCATCTCGCTACAGTTATCTACCGTCCACTATCATTTCTGACGCGATCATGCTTTGCCTGGTCGATCATGGCTATATAGCGCAAGAGCAACATGGTTACCGCCAGAATCAATCAAGTGCTACAAATCTACTGTTAGCGCGAGACAGCTGGATGGAAACAATGATGGTTGGTGCTGTGGTTTATGTTGTCTACCTCGGCTTCTCTAAGTCATTAGACCGATTGAAGCGTTACCTCTGTCTTGCCTAGAATCTGTGATATGTTATTCATGATCCCCACCTAGAGTGAATCAGCATTTCGCTCCTGCATCGGCAACCGGATGCGAAATTGTGTGAGTCCAAGTCAAAGTCGGATGTGATGTACCACATGATTGGACATTGGAGCCTCAATTTTCCTGATCTACGATAAACATTTATTAACATTAATCACGTTAAACTTCTTTGCTTTATGTTGACTATATCAAAGGTTGCCGTAAGGTTACTGTACCAGCTGACCGAATACAGTTTCAAAACTATTCCTGTACGCTTTATGGATTGTCAGTATGAAATTATCAATAGTTTATAGTTAGTACATTTCGAGTGCTTCATCTACAGACTCAGATGGTTCAAATTTAAAAGTCGTGGAACGAGGATCTGCAGCATTATTCTCGGAAAGGAAATCGCTGCATACTGGTTCACGATGGTGTCGACTGTGCAAAACATTCCGAAATAATGTCGAAGAATGGTATGCAAAATGTGGTAACATTGCAGAAGTCGTTCGGTCACTTTGATCTGTCCATTTTCTCCAGTGGCTTTCAATATTCCAAGCGTCGGAGCTTGGGAATTGATGACTAAGTCATCTGCTATTTAGGTAACTACCAATTTCAGCGACATCCGAATGTGACAGTTCACAACACCATCTGAGACATTATGGATGTTCAATGCGCATGCAAAGGCTCAGTACCGGGACCACGCCTACTCTTGATTTACATAAACGATCCTGCCGGAGTGATCACTTCCAATTTCTTGCTCTTCGCCAATGATGTAAAGATATGGCCGGCCATCAAATAAATAAGGGACCACGCAGCGTTTCAGGATGACCTTGATAGGGTGCACGAATAGGTGACTGAGAACCTGCTTGATTTCAGCGCAACAAAATGTAAGTCATTCAACCTACACCGTGAAACAACTTGCGATTACAGTCAGGGGGATCAAGTTTCACAACAGCCTTCTACTGAATGTCAACTAGGTATGACATAGGTGCGACTAGAGGTTATTATCTGCTCTTGTCAGGCCAATAAGGTATCAGAAAATGCCAACCAACTGCTTGTCCTTTTGCTCGAGGTCTATATCAGACCCTACACGGAATACGCCATCCACACCTGGCAGCCACTGGCACAAGCACGACCACACTGGAAGGCAACCAAGAATGGAATGGATCTGTTTCGTCTCTCTTATCAACTGAGGTTGACGACCCACTGGGTATACGGTGGACAATATCGATGCCTGCGTGGCGATTTGATAATGATATATTTGATCCTGAGGAGTCCAAACCACGCTTATAGTCATTTTCCGAAACCGAATAACGACACAAGGCTAATAGGTCGTCAGCTAAAGCTGTCTACACAGTATAGCCGGTTGGAGTGCCGCCGAAATTTCCTTGCTTGTGCAACTTGAAGTCATTCTTACTTAAGTGTTTTCTTCCCCCACGCTGGAAGATACATTCATGCATTTTCATAACGCTGTACGGCCCTTGATGACCACGCGTCAACCTGACGCCTTCAATCTATGTGTTTATTTTCACATCCTGCGCTTCATTACTTACATGCTGTGACTGTGCGTTATCTTAAAGATGTATTCAGACTTGATTTACGTGTCGCATTGCTCCAAAGAAGACACACACGTGTGAGTGTTGTCAATTCCATACTTTGTAGTTTTCTCAAAGAGTACTTGAACTGCAGCTTCCTCCCATATTACTTGGTGCACGCAGCTTCAAGTCCATTTTTAAACTATCGTTATGCAATACTTCGGTGAAATGGGTAAAATTTAATTTGTACTTTAACCATCCTACAGGACTTGTCATGCAACTGCACTTGTACCTCTGAAAAATCATTCTTCATTGTTTATTGTACTCTTTTACGTCGAATATACGATTCAAGCATGGCACCAATGACAGAAGCAGGATCTAGCTACTCGAATATTCAGCAGCGCCAGGCGACCAGAAGCTTAGAAGGGCAATACCATTTAACATTAGAAACAGCGACCAGTATTGTTTGGAGGTTTCAGCGGACGGTATCGGCGGTTGTATGTTGACGTTATCATGGCTTGCCAGGTTTTAAGCAACCATAATCACTTATGTCATTATCTAGTTGACCTCAGACAAAACCGAAGACTGATGGCCACCGACTCAAATTGGCAGAAGAATACAACCAGATAGAGTGTTGACGAAATTTCTTCACGCTGCTTGTTTGCCACACCTAGATTTCGCTACCAGAAGCTGTTATGTTAGGTTCCACTTTAGCTGTGTCAAGAGATTCGGTCCAAAATTCGCTGGCTGCAACACAACATATTCGATAACACTCAAGAATCACACGCACATTCAGAAAACCAAGGCGCATCAATCCACACCCGTTTTACTGGGAAAACCAAAGACGGTAACATTGCTACTTGCATTAAAACATTATGATCAATTCACGCGGCAACTTCACTGTTTGAGAATCGTCACCGACTATCCTACGGAATATACTAAGCCTAGTCTTTTATTCACCATATACCACTGATCTTTGACCACTGACTATATAATTCGACTCCAATATTCTGAGTCATGTTTGAAATACGCCAACGTACGCAGTACTCACTTTGGTAATTTCACTTGATATTTTCCAATCTAGCGATGTGAGCGATTCTACTTACAGATCTCCTCAAATTGTTGAAAGCATCTACGTTGTTCTTGCAATCTTAGGTGTTAGCATTTTTCATGATCAGTTGCAGCAGAACATCATGATATATAAAGAATTTGTGAAACGAGTGCTTTACTGAAGTAGTGAATATCAGGTGAACCAATTTGAAAATGGAGCCGGAAGCTGGCCGTTTTGTTGTGGCTATGAAGGAATTGAGCGGCTTTTCGCCGAACGAGGGAACAAGGCAGTGGAATCCAACTTGGAACATGAAGGAGTTTGCGTTATTACATTCCATTACATTTTGTATTTGATGGCGCCTTTACAGGAGTGCCTCGTTTTACAGAGAATATGCCATTTATTTATTTATTTATTTACACTATCATCTGTTACGTAGCTCCAGTGGAATTGTCATTCGAACCTACTCTCTTGCCGGAGGTTAGTACTATCGATATGAGGTTAGTAAATGCGTTTCTTCTATTAATCTACGCAGTACGCCAAACTCGATCATGAATGCTCCTTTACGATAGTACACATCGTAAGAGCTGATGATGTTACTAACCAGAGCAACCGCTACCTCCTACCTCCTGATCCACCTAGTGTATGTTGATACCAGATGAGCTACTTGGAGACAACAGCCGCTCTATTCAGCCTATCAAGTCCCCTAGAATCTGGGATGTTTTCACGTAACTCGGATGGCCACTTCTCATATGTTAGGTTGGGGCTTGGATGAATTCACCTTCGAGGTCAAAGCAGCCACTTGTGTCCAATAGCACAAACGACATCTTGCTGCACACTGCAGATGTTCATGTATGGGATGAACCAACACACCTCATGAGCATCAGTTACATTACAATTGTACAAACAGAAGGCAGTGGCTGTATGTATAGATTAGGAAATTCGGCGAAGCTGAACAGCACAAATGGACTATCAGCGAATTGTCACTTTACGTACACCGCCGTTACAAATTCCTTTTTGTTTTCAGCAACTGACGTGCAATGCGGCATGAGTCAGTTTCGTTTACAATTTGTCGCCCCCACTCGCAGTTGCAAGTGCTGATTCCAGGCCACTCTCTAGCTGTTTCATGACTCGAAGTACGAGCTCCTCGCGGAATGGTCTTGCAACGATTTGTACGCTGAGTGGTAGACCTTCAGTATCACACTGGAGCTGCATAACTTTTTCATGGAATGCATCCCCACTGGTTTTAAATTCTTCTGTCAAAATGGATGCTTCCCGGACATCTGCAGCAGTCACTGTACCCATGGGAACCACACCAGCCGGATAGTCGAGGAGGTTATAGAGTAGACAGTACACTGCAAGTGGGCTGGTGTAGAAGATGGATGTGCCACGCGTAAAGGCAGGAGTAGCCCACACAGGACAGATCAGCACATCAAAGTTGTCTGCATCTATCCAAGCCATGTCGAATTCTTTTCTGTATGCCTTGATTTGGAACAGAAGCTCCTGCAGTTCAGCACTATGCAACGTCCCCTGAGCATATGCGGTCATTTCCGCCGGTCCCCTGAACTTTCGTTTGATGACGCGACTTGCAAGCCTTGAGAGTACAGCAGGAACGCTCAAAGATTGCTTGAGGGTTTTGGTGAATTCTGTCTCTGGTTCGTCCTTCAACATCTTTAACATGGTTTTACCCCCGTCAATGTCCATTGCCTTTAAGCACAGACTAAAGGCATCTAGCATTCGAGGTGGGTTAAAGCGGATTGTCTGATGCCCTTGGCTTTTCATAATCCTCGTGGCAGTCGCAATGGCTCTACGTACAGATGGCACTGTTTGCGCAAGCTCTGGATGGCAGCTTGTGTCGTAAAACCCAACTATTAGGCTAGGTTTGTTTAAACTACTATATGCCTCTTCATTAAATATGATGGGTGGAATCGTCTCATCTAATTGGAACAACGGCCGCTGTAACAACGTACGCATAACGGCGACTAGATCATCCACATGACGTCCCATGGGTCCGACTGTCATGTTCAGGGCAACCACAGATCTTGGAAACAGCTCAGTCAAACCCCTACAACTTAACCGATTTGAAGTCGGTTTCAAGCCGGCTAGGCCAAAAGAAGACACTCGGACATTGACAAAAATGTCGGATCGCGCTCTCATGATTCATGCCGGCAATGTGTTTACAGTCGTATGCCCTGTGACACAAGCAAGCAATAGTATTCCTCCAAAGACTCTGCGTCGACCGTTATGCACGAAATCGGAGGGCAAGAAGACACTGCTCAACATGGCGGTTGTAACAGAATGTCCTACTGCACAACAAACTGTATCGTACTCGTGACCATTTTTTTCGGTGCACTGCCCATGTTGCTTTACTTGCGTTCTGAAACTTTGCTTTACATGGCAGTTAGTGCAACGTGCATCACCGTGGTCACAAGCCGTTTGAAATCAATTGCTGCTTACGTACTGGACTGCTTGCTAGATAGCGGGGACGTTGACGTATATACAGTTAGGCACAGCCTGTTTCGTACGGCATTCCGAGGTACGGGTATTGCGTTCCGCTCTAGCGCGGAACCATTTGAGATATCCGTTAACTGGCTCCTGATTCCCCAGGCTGTTTTCACTACTGACTTGCTTATATTATGACGGATTTAAAGGTACGTGCCCCCGAATCACGTTTCGTTTCAGGTAACCGAAAGGTGACTAAACCGCTGGAAAGCTTAGCATCTGCCATGTTATGTCATACGGACAGCAGAAGTCAACTTATGCTGCGTCATCAGTGATGTGAGGACGCCACTTGACCAACATCGAATGGTTTGCAGCCGAACAAACTAGCCCTACTTACGGGCTATAACCTGCGGTACTGATGCTAAGTATGTTGATGCAACCATTCCTCTCCTGTGCAGCCATACATATCTAGGTAGGCTAAGAATACTACCTAAGCGAGTACGCGCAATTCTCCACATATCTTCCGCTTTACACCGCTGCCCTCGGCTTTGTTAATAACCAGGTTCTAAGCGATAGCTACGCAATCCGGAACTGTTACCAATACTATACCGCGAAACCTTTCCCTGAATATCCTTATCGTATCCTGCGCGCCGCATCAATCATAAGGGATTTAGTGAGGCCATGTCCATTCACCTGCGCTCCTTTCCTCGTACAAACAATTATCCTATACCCATTGTCATCAAGCTTGTTACATCAATGCTCTGCAGAACGGCACACACCCGATTTCTGATACGTCTGTGATGCATACGTAAGCTGCTACGAAATCTACGACGAGAAATGAGCCAGCATTTCCGATGAACCACATCGCAGCTTATGTGTTATCAGTAAAGCATATCGCAATACCTATTTCACGGCACATATACGGAAACGGGTACGCTGAACGACGTTGCGCACTCCTTTCTAAACGGGCGTCAGTGTGTTCCACTATCGCGAAACGGCATATTGCAAGTGGGGCACGTAGTATTCCTAGCAACCACTCGGCGATTAAAAAGGAAAACACCATTTCTATGTATAAAATGATATGTTGATCACATGAAAATTAGTTACAAATCGGACATGTGAATAGCACGTCCGTAATTCCCTGTCACGTGCCGAACCATGTTCTCGCAGTGGCGTGGTGTCACACGTGATCGTGCCTCTGACACAACCTGCTCCAGGAATCTGATGCGCCACTCGCTTTGGCTGAGAACACAATCAGGGTCCCCTCGGAGCATTTCCCCATACCTGCTCCTCATCGCTTGCTTGACGTAGCTTTTGATTATACTCCAGATCCCCTCGATAGGGTTCAGCGCCGGAGAGTATGGGGATAATCGTAACATCCTCCCTGATCGGTACTGTTCTTCCTGGAACAAGTTTTCCAAATCTGTGTGGCACGGCGCGTTGTCACAAATCAGCAGGCACCGTTCGATAACATCCGCACCTTGTGCATCTAGCAACTGTCGCAGCCACTGCGCACATCTTTGTTTATTGTAGCTTCCACGTAAAACGGAGAACGCTATCAATGCGTCCTTTGTCATTGCTCCGACAAGGTGCACATTTTGCCCGCGACTGTTTGCCACAGTACACTGTGCTCGGCTCCCACGTGGTGAACGGCCCCGAGTTCGTGCGCAAAAGAGATTAAAGTTCATCTCGTCGATCCACATCGGTTCCCTTCCTTCCGCTTGAAAATGTAATAGCTGCAGGACGAACAATTTCCGTCGCTGTTTGTTCACCTGCGTGTTCAGGGATTCAGGAATTGTGTGTAACTTCTTCATCGTTATCAATCGCCCGTCAAGGTATCTGGCAACAGTACTGGTACAGACCTCAACGTCGAACTCAGCTTTCAAGCGCAAGCGGCGTTTTGCAAGGGTTATGGTGGGTTCCGCCGACACCCACTCAACCAGAGAGTCAAAGTGGCTTTCTGTCATTGCTCTCTCATCGCTCTCTCATCGCCTCCATGATTATTTATCAGCTCGAGTGTGCCTGTGAAGCAACGTATATCGGTCTTGCGGCGCAGCTCTTGTCCAAACGCGTGAATAAAGACTGCCCACGTTGGTTGTACCAATGTGGCGCTGGGGCCATTGACAACTCCAGTATGGCTCATGTTGTCGATAGTGAGCACCAGGAAGATTCAAATCTACCCTTAGAATAGTATACGAGGTTCGACAACACAGATAGAAAGGTATACGTCTTCCTACACTTGCGACGGCCAAAGCTAGTTGCAATCGCTCATTTCAACCGTCCTTATGCTCACAAAAGATGCTAATTCGGGCTCTTCAGCTTCCTTGGCCCGCGAAAACGGAGGCCACTTAGGTCAACGACATTAGGTCAAACTCCGTAACATGTAATTAATTTGTTTCGCTTTTTCACGTACGTAACCTCTATTAACTGAGTCCATTTCGTTTACTTTTTAGCCCTAAATATGGTTGTAATGGTCCGAAGATGAATCATTGAAAGCAATTGCTCACCAAATGGTCGCGTTGTTCTCGCTAAGGAAACTTGAAATACGCCTAGACCGAAAGCCATTGTTGGAATTCGAGGGGAATCAAAAGCAATAGACCGAATGTCATCGTTCCGTATGCTTCGCTGGACCCGAATACCTGCTGGTAATCAGTACCAATTAAGATCTCCACGGTAAGAGAATCAGTGTGCAACGCTGTCTGCTGACTCCCGTTACGAGAAGTTCCAAGCCACATATCAGTTTGGGGAGAATTGGTGCAGGTGATATCTTGGTTGCATGATTTGCCACTGAAAACAATGGAAACACGGAGTTATCCGGAACAGTAAAATGTCGTACCTTTTTGGTCGGACAGAGTAGATTTGGATAGGAGGGCATTTCCACAGTCCAAGAAATAAACTGAGCATTCAGGATGGTTGTAGAATTCTGGGTTAACTACATAAATGTGTATTTTTTCCGGACAGACGGGAAACGTTCTCATTTGGGAAACGATCAGTCGTACAGCCAGCTTCGTCATTAATTCATGAAAGTGAAGGCTGTAGAACTTACATGCAAATGCGACTATATTAAGGCTTAATACCTTGGATAAAATTCATTCCGGCATGCAGCGCTGACTTGTTTCATACTAGGTGTTATTGAGAAAAGCTATATCCTCCGATCTCGTTGCGCTTCAGGTCTGTTTCGGCACTTTGTTTTGTATAAATATAATGCGAGAATGCAATCACACACAGCGAAGTTGTGGCAAATGGGAGAAACACGGAGATAGCTGTCTACCATAACAAGGTACACATCGTTCGCTTTGCATCGGAAATCACACAAAGACAGTCTGTGAAAAGCTTTTTGAAAGGAAGAGCCTTAAGTCATTTCCATGCATTTTATATGCATGTCCGGATACGTTGCTCTGTTCTGCTGTCAGCGCATTACGATAACTAACGATGTAAGATGCTTCCGTAGCATTTTTTACAGTCTGCGACGCGTGAAGCATGTACGTTCGGGTGTTCAATATTTCATCTCGCATGCGCTGCAAGTACTTTTTCTGTCTTTACAGTCCGTATGAATTTTTCAAAATGCCGTCGCATTTTAATAGGCACCATGTCTAGAAGAACCTTGTTACACATGTCACCTTGTGGACAATTATTGGATTCTATAAATCCAAAACGAAGATAAATGTTGTTGTATTTCCGCCTCTTGCCCACTGGTACAGAGGATCCGGTTGGCACAGACATATTGCATCACATCACATTTTCCTCATATATACAAACGATGTATTTCAGAGCAAATCGCATGGTACTGGCTATTCGTTTGCTCATGACATCTAATTCGTCCACTCAACTGAAGTGCAAATACCTGAAGAGCCATACTTCTCAATCAGGAAGACTTCAGTACACTTGATTCCTTGTGCCACTTGTGGCAGATGTCATTCGTTTTAGACAAGTGTAACAGATTTTCGTGTATATGTCCATCATCGCCAAACTGTTTAGCACACGCATCTCGCAATACAGGATAGTTCGCAAACTGGGTGTGCGATATTCTGTCACCTTCAATTTTTCTGCACACTGCTACTTCCAAGTGTTCAACTCAATTAAGTCCATCGGCTATACATGTAGCCACTTTCATCCCAAGGATTCTGGAATCTGGTTATCGAAAACATATTGAATACCAGTCAATGAATCTGTTTACTGGTCTAATGAAATCTTCGAAATTCAGACGACCATGCGCTCGATAGGGTCCACCGACGCTTCGCGAAGCAATTATGCACTTATTTCTCAAAGATAACTTGCAGAACGGGCTGCATCGAACTTGGACTTGACCCAGTCTAGCTTCAGCGATCGAACGTGAACCTGTGCCTTCTTTTTAAAATCACGAACCATCATTGGCCCAGTGAATAAAACGTTGTTCTCGTGTCTGAGAGCAATCGGTACCGTATCGCAACAAGGAATCGAATGTCAGGATTCCGACGTGCATCGCGAAACAGTAAATGTTTGTTTCTAATACATTATTCTAAGATATGGAACAAATAACCAAAAGACATCAGAACATGTTGTTCAAGCTTGTGATAACTAGGCATCTGTCCGTTCAAAAC